TTTTTTTTGAGAAATATTTGGAACCATTTCTTTCTTTTTCTTCATCTCTGTTAAAGATTTTAATGCATTCCACCTTCTGAGGAACTTAAAAATTTATACTTGCCCTGTGACTCAGGAATCCTAAGAATTTTTTTCTTGGACTGATAAAACCGCTTTTAAGTTTTTAGAAATAACATTTTTTAAATTCAAAAATTTAGGAATTTTCTTAAATTCTGAAAATTCGAATTTCCAAACCCATCTATGAAAGTTTGATTTCTCAAAAGTTAGAGCTCAAAAAAATGTTTCAATCATATTTTTGTATTATCTGAAACTTTTTATTATCCTGAAATTGCTTAATTTCGAAATTCCTTGGAATAGATTTAGAAAATATTTCTGGATATTTCGAAAATGATAATTCTGAAATCAGGTTATTAAAAACTTTCCGCTTTCAAAAAAATTATTCTGCAAAATGATTCTTGAAATTCTAAAGATCTTGAAGTTCTTCGAGGTTTTTTTCAGGAAGTTTTAAAAAATCACTAAATTTTTTTTGTAATCGAAATTTCAGAATTTTTATTTTGGTTGTTTTTGAATTTACCAAAATTCCTGAAAATTTATGGAATTCGCTTTCTATTTTTTGAATTTTATCTAATTTCAAAGTTTTTTTGAATAATCTCAATTTTCAAGATTCTAGGAATTAAAAATTTAGAGCGCAACTTTTATAAAAAGCTCTAATTTTTCTGATCCAAAAATATAACAGTTGAAAAAATATTTTTGAAAACTTTTAAGTCGATCAAGACTCAAAAAATTCCTTCCGAACATCAGTTGTTTCGTTAATCTCAAAATTGTTTTCCATTCAGAAAAATTGTATCGATGGGTATTTTGTACTCTTATAGTTTTTTAGTGAACACAATTTTTCCTAGACATATTCAAAACTTTTTTCTCTAAAAAAAAACTGAGCTCAAAATGTTCCTGAAAAAGCAAAACCCAATCAAATTACATAAGTCGTTAGGCCAAGTTGCTAAGCAAATGCGCCCTACTATACTAATTTTTGGTCGGAGTAAAATTAAATTACCAAGAAAGGTCTGCAACTTCCCACCTGGCAATACATCTGATCATCGATCCCTACTTTTTCCCAAATCCCAAAAAATGTTTCATTTTTTTCCATTCCCCAATGTTTACTTGATTGTGTTTGGTCATCTGTCCGATCTTTTCTAATACGAAACCAACATGTTTCACTTTTGTTCTTCTTCTTCTCCGAATGTCAATTGTTTTTCTTCACTTGTCTCTTGTGCAAAAAACGGAGGTAAGTACATTAGATGCGCTGTCCACCAATCTATTGAATTTGAAAAACCAAAGGACATACATTTTTAAAAATTCAAAAGATTTCCTATTTTTGTCTCTATGTTTTCTAGGAATAAGAGTCTTTGTTGTTATTTTTGGGTTACTGTAACATAGACCATGAAATTGGAGAGAACATTATGTGATTTCTATTTTTCCAGAACCTAGATGTCCCCCGAAAAATCCAAATTCCCATTTTTTTGAACGCTCGTTTTCCGTCCGGGATCATAGTAGCATCCAATTTCCGGAGAATTCAAACAAAACGAAGAACCTCAAGTGGGCGGAGCTTCAAGGGGCAGCCCCAAAAAAACAAAGAAGAAGGGGGCGATGAAGAAGAAGATTCAGAAGAGAAATTACACGTTCTTGAGCCCCACCACCACCACCAGCACCACTTCCGCAACATACGACGCCTTCTTTTGTTTCTTCTTCTTTCTCCTTATTCTTCTTCGTCTGAAGTTGTGCACGTTTTTCATTTGTTTTAGTGACGCCTTCATTATCGATGAATGAATGAGAGAAAATTGGAAATTTGAAACTTTTCATGAGGCAGGTGTCAGAGAGAAAACAGAAGGCAATATAGCAAATGGGCTTTTGAACGTTGAAATTTTTTTAGGAGCTTTTTCACTTAGCCCGGAGCCTAGGAATTGTTTTTTGGGATTCAATTCCTTCATAGGAGTTTTTTGAGACTCGACCGATTCCGAGGAAAGGGTTGTCTCCGAGGAACCTTACTTTGCAACTGCCGCACAACCTTACTTTGCAACTGCCGCACAGTTCAACTGCGCCACTGTAAAAGCTGAAACTCCACCCCGATTTCCTCGTAATCGGTTCTTCGGAATCGGTTTTTTATATATCCTATCGTTCAGCCACCATTTTCTCAATAACAAAGCTAGAAACTCTATCGAAGCTAACCTAGTGCATAGGGTTTGACGCCCAAAACGGCTTGCCTGTTCTATGCCACCTAACCCAAGATTGGACTTTTAAAAGTATATGAACTTTTTTTTTTTTTTTATAAATTTTCAAGAGCTATAGAATGATATAAAAATCACTAACACTTTCACATTCTAACGTTCAGCGGAGGATTATATCAATGAAATAGTTTTTTTGTGACTCAATCCCTTTTAAGTCCGAATCTCAAATCCTGAAGATCATGGCTAACATGCTAGCACAATTTTTTTTTCCACAACGGAAATCCGAATAACTGGAAAATCGTAATTTTCAGATGTTTTTTTCACGATTTTTTCCCGATTGCTCATATATTCTGGTAGTATTTTTTAAAGCTTCATCATCAGCTCGTTTTTTGGGAGATTTTTGGTTGGAAAAGCGATTAGGAGATATGACGATAAGGAGATGACACTGAAAAAAGGCTAATAAAAATATTATTAGGGATTAGGGAACCTAGATATCTACTAGTTAATGAGAAAATTAGGTTTCTGAATTTTATTGCATTCATTTTTCCTCAGATACCACCTACTGTATTAGAAGACAACCCAACTTTTAGCTCAATTATCTCGATTTCTGTGAAAAATATCTGAAATTTGTGAACTGATAAAATAATGCTGATGTTGTGATAAATAGTTCATCTGTTGACAAATTTTCGATACATTCTACAAGCAATGTTATACACGGGGACATTTTATTAGTTGGCTAATTTTTGATATCTTCTGAAAGAACCGAGAATAATTGAGCTCAAAGTTAGCAAGCTTCTATTAGAGGAACTATGGTATAATCTTTCGCCACCGACATGTACATTTTGTGGGTCCCATACTCACTTCCTCCCACCTTTTTCTATACATTTTCTACTTTTTTGTTTTATTTCTCTTCATACTTTTTTCTCTTTTTTTGTGCGAGTTCCCTTTTTTCAAACTACAAACATAAAAAAGTATCTAGGAACTCAGGGAAGTGTAACCCACGTCCTCGTGTTTGTGTCTAAATTGATTTGATTATCAAGTATGTAAAAGTGTCGAGAAGAAATTTTCTTCTCAAAGTTTGGTTTTTTTCTGCCAAGACTAACGAGTTGCTCTTGAATTTGGATACTACGGTAGAAAAATTATGAAATTAGGAATTTTTTGTTTTCAAGAGGAGGAATTTAGAAAACGCTTTTTTTCAAGTGGAGTGGAACTTTCAAAGTTTTTGCATACGGTAATTTTTGAGTTCCATTTGAGATTCTGAGATTTTTAAATTATCAGATCTTGGAGTTCTCAGATCATGAAATTCTGAAATTCTGAAATTCTGAAATTCTAAAATTTTGAAATTCCGAAATTCTGAAATTCTGAAATTCTGAAATTCTGAAATTCTGAAATTCTGAAATTCTGAAATTCTGAAATTCTGAAATTCTGAAATTCTGAAATTCTGAAATTCTGAAATTCTGAAATTCTGAAATTCTGAAATTCTGAAATTCTGAAATTCTGAAATTCTGAAATTCTGAAATTCTGAGATTCTGAGGTTTTGAGATTTTAATATTCTGAGATTTTGAAATTCTGTTGTCTTTGATATATGATTTTTACTCTCTAAAACGTTCCCTCAAATTTTTTTGTGTAAACTCAAATTTTCAAAAAAATGTTCAAAGCAGTAAAATTTTATGGGGTCACCGTCCATTCTTCTGTCACTTCCCTTTCACCATGGTGTTTTTGTTTTAAAATTAAGATTCTAAGATCAAAACCATCCGACCAAATCCATTTTTTTTGTTCTGCATCAAAGAAAAAATATCTAAAAATAAATGAAGAACAAATCTAATTTCGGAGGATCCCACCCTCTCTTCCTTTTTGTTTCTTTTTATTATTTTTTTTTCTGCTTCCATGAACATTGTATCTATTATATTTGGTTCCTCTTTTATTATAGAACTACACAACTTTTCAAAAACGCAAAGTTCCTCATTTTTTGTTTATCCGCCTTTCAGTTTTTCCGGTTAAAGTTCTTTTTTCGGTTCACTACTCTTTCACCCTAAAAAACCGGAAATTGACTCCAAGTTCTATAAGTCAAAAACTTCTCTTTTTCGGTTTTCTTCTCATTTTTCAAGTTTGCAAACCAATTCCTAGAAACATTTTTTCCTCTTTTTCTAATTCTCATATTCTTCAAAATCTCAAATTTACACAAGACATCTTTTTTCTTCAGAAACAATCCGAAAAGATCAAGACCTCATCCTTTTTCTTTGAAAACGGAAAAGGCCCGTAGGCGAGCAATGAGCAATAATATGAGCAAAAATATTCGGTTTCAAACTCATATTTGAAGAGTTTTCCAACCATTTCTTTGTGTTGGCACGAAAATTTGAGGGAGTTCGAGAGATTGGATTTCGACCAAAAATGGGAATGTCATTGGGGTATTTCGGAATGAATGACGTGGCATTCAGGAATTAGGAGATTCTGGAATTCTGGAAAAAACTGATTCTGGAAGTGGTGGACCCTGACATTCCGAACTCAGAATGTTTGGAAGTTTGAAGGATTAGACTCAGTCAAAATCTTCAACTTCGGAGCCTCTGATCTGAAATTCTGAAGTTCTAAAATTCTGAAATTCTGAGATTCTAAAATTCTGAAATTTTGAAATTCTAAAATTCTGAAATTCTGAGATTCTAAAATTCTGAAATTTTGAAATTCTGAAATTCTGAAATTCTGAGATTCTGAGATTTTGAGATTCTGAGATTCTGAGATTCTGAGATTCTGAGATTCTGAGATTCTGAGATTCTGAGATTCTCAGATTCTGGGATTCTGAGATTCTGAGATTCTGAGATTCTGAGATTCTGAGATTCTGAGATTCTGAGATTCTGAGATTTTGAGATTCTGAGATTCTGAGATTCTGAGATTCTGAGATTCTGAGATTCTGAGATTCTGAGACTCTGAGATTCTGAGATTCTGAGATTCTGAGATTCTGAGATTCTGAGATTTCGAGATTCTGAGATTCTGAGATTCTGACTTTTCAAAATCGTTCAGACTTTTTATTGACTTCGGATTCTAAAAATTCAATCTCGAATTTTGAATCAGATCATGAGTTTTTAAAAACTCGCAGTTATTCATTTTCAAAATCACGAAATTTGCACTTTCCTAAACTTTTAAATTCAGTAAATCAAACTTCCATTTCTTATTTTCTTCGAAAAATGACGTATTTATAGGTCAAAAATCTTTAAATTCCCCCATTTTCCAACCATCCAATTTTATCACAAGTTTAGCAATTCTGCACCCCATAATTACCCAGAGCTTTTTTCCCCGAATGAACTAATTTGACATTTTATCTAGTTCAGAATATATTTTTTTTTTCTCTAGTCCAAACCATTTTTTCCCAATACTTTTTTCCCTGATTCTCTAAAAATTCATGTTTTCGAGTCTAAAATTTCGGATTCTCGGAAATGATCCAGTATTTATTCTGTAATCACTCTAAAATTTGGAACACCAAAAGAATGTGCCACGAAATCAATGAGAATCTGATTTTTTTGACGTCGTCTGCAAAACGGAAGCTTCTAGAGAATATCCAAAAAATCTGATATCTAATTCATACGAAAAAAAAACGAAGTGGGCGAACGGCGACGATGTGTTCTTACTTTTTTAGGTAAACACATCTGAATTTGAAAATCAGCTGTGGAAAAAATGGATTTTCACTTTTTTTTGGCTGTCTGAGTGGCTGATTTTGGGACGTGAGCCAGTTGAAGTAGCAAGATTTTCAGTGTTTTTCTGTAATGATTTCTAAGAATTCAGATTCTCAACGAGATATGTGATATTTGTAAAACCTGTAATAGAAGGGCGCCGCACACTGTCAAGTTTGAGCTCAATTATCTCATTTTCTGTAAAATATATATAAAAGTTGTTCCCTGATAAAATGTTTGTGATATTTTGACAAAAATTTCATTAGTTGACCAAACTTTTATATCTTTGACAGGAACCAAAAAAAATTAGCTCAAAGTTAAAGGTAAAGGAGCCCTTCTAATACAGGTTTTACGGTGTAAAAACTTTATTGGCGAATAAAGTTTTCGAATTTTTTTTAGAAAATTGAGTTTTTGTGATTCAAGATTTCATTCAAAAATCCAAAGAGACCTATTTTCAAAGTTCAGACTGCAATCGAATTCTCATGTTTCCTCCCGTATTCTTGAATTCTCAAGAATCCTCCTCTTCCGAAAATTTTGACTCCGCCCCTTTTTGGTACAACTCCTTAATTCTTGTCCGACCCCAGTAAACTTCCCCTCCTGGTCCGTCCAAAGTCTTAAAACTTTCCCTCTATTTTTGCCACTCTCAAATTTCCTTGGTCTTCTTATTCCTCGATTTCCGGTGCAACCACTCCCTTTTGAGTTTCTATCTCTATTTATTCCATGTCATCATAATATCTTCTATAGAAACTTTGTTTATTCCAGAAAAATCTTGGTACATCAGATACCAAGAATTATCTTTTCTACGAGGGGTTGATCTTTTGGGAAATATTTGAAACCCGGAAAAAGCGCGATGTACCGGGGGAAAGATGTTTGAGTTATTATTATTTTAATTGCTATATTTGCAATTCGAAGGAGGTTCTTCGAAATAATTTTCTATTTTCCGCCCGCTATCCATACTTTGAAAATTGAAGGAGGCTTGTCTGTTTTGAAGTTTGTATATTGCACATTTTTGAGCTTTAGAAGAGCTAGGATTTGAATTTTGGATTTTTTAAAAGAGTTTTTTGGAGTTAGAATATTCATTCTTACTTTACCGTGTACTATGCTCAGTGGACAGCTATCGTATCCGCTGTTATACTTGGCCATTCTAGCTTCGCCCGCGTGGCTCAGTCGGTAGCGGCGCCGCACCTTCAATATTCGTCCCACAGGTTCAAATCCTTGAGAGGCTTAAATTAACAAAATTTTGAGACAGTTTTTTTTCGGCACTTGGGGGTACAAAGTGATTTAGGGGTACAAAATCCTCGATTCGGGGGTTAAAAATCGGATTTTCGGGTATCTTGTACCACGAAGTGAAAATTTTGTAGCCCTAAATTTCTTTGTGCTCCTTTGTGCAAATTATTTTTCTTTGTGCAAATTATTTTCTTTTTTTGATTTCTTTGTGCAAATTATTTTCTTTTTTTAATGCCCTCCTTTTTTTAAATTAGAACACCAATTGAAGAAAGTGACAAGAATAGACTTTATTTGTATTCATAAATCTCTGTGGACCATGAATTCTGAATTATAAATTGTAACATCTGGTTTCTGAATAACTTAAAAATCCAGATTTAGATTAATTCAAGAACTTCGGAACATTGTTGATCCTTGAATTTGAAGGCGGTGATTCAGAAACTCCTGGGCTGGATATTCAGAATTAAAAAAAAAGATGTTTGAACCGCCCCCTCCTTTTAAAATATTTTTTCTCAAGAAATTCTAAAACCAAAATTTTATTAGAGTCTTTGGACTATGTTATATACAAAACTGAAGCACTCATATCCTTATGACCATCAAACCTCTTAAGTTAGTCATACTAGAATTTTTGTCTGGCCTCAAAATTGCAAACCCACATCCCCCACCAAATCTCATCTGAATCCTCCTCCGTCCCACACGGACGCCTTCGCCCCCAAAAAACTAACAGAGTGTGATGATTAGATTAACGAAAAGATCCTCTTGTTTTGGTTTTTTGGATTTTCAGCAGGAAACAGGAATCAATCCAGATCACTCCTTTTTTGTTCTCAACTCGAGCTCTTTGGGGTATGATATGGGTTATGAGTCAACACTAGGAAATTTACTCGAAATTTCCATATTTGGTACTACAATATTTGAGAATGGGATTAAAAGTGAGAAAGGAAGAGGAGGGTTCTAGAACATTGTTTGATTTTATTTTAGCACTTAGAAGTTTTTTTTGTTGAAAAGCTAGAATTATCTATTTTTGACATTTTCAGAGAAAAGTTGATTTCAAGAGAATCGCGTCATTTTGAAGTTTTTTTTTTTGAGAATTGAATTGAAATTTGGTTTGAAGCGTTTTCCTGATGATTGAATATTTGGTTTTTAGAAATTTTCAGAAAAGCAGTTTTTTTAGTTTTGGCACTAATTCTAAATTTTGGCTCTAATTTTCAAATTTGTCACTTTTTTTGAATTTCGGCTCTAATTTTGAATTTTGGCACTAATTTTCAGTTTTAGCAACAGTTTTCAACTTTGGCTCTAATTTCGAATTTGGACTCTAATTTTCAATTTTCGCGAAGGTTTTCGATTTTGGCTCTTTTTTCAATTTTTGATCTAATTTTGAACTTTGGCACTAGTTTTCAATTTTGGCTCTAATATTCAATAGTAGCTCTAATTTTGAATTTCATAAAAATTTTCACTTTTCACGAAGCTACCTTTTTGGCGTTAGTGTATTATTCTGGTATTAGGTTGGCGGGAAAGTCTTTGTCACTCTGTTTGTTTAATCACTGTTCTCGTATATGGAGGCTGTGTATGATATCGACTCTAGTGAATAACAAGGTGATAAGAACCTTCCATATAAACAAGTCCCCATCTCCTTCCCTGCTCCTCATCTGTAATTGAAACGATATGTTTGTTCCCACTGCTATTCACATCAGACATGTTTTGATTTACCTCTTCCTATCTCACACCACGATGAAGGATTCGGAAACTTTCTTGAAGAATGTGTACAACACACATGCCCCTCACTACAATACTATTCGCAATTGGTTCCATCGTTTCGAAAAAGATGACTTCTCGCTCGATGAAAAGGATCGCTCTGGGAGACCCCGTGAGTTGGATTTGGACAAGCTGAAGCACGCATTGCAATCGGATCCATTTCAATCTAGCCGTGAACTAGCTGTCACATTCGGAGTTCACCATAGCACAGTCCTTGAAGGTTTGAAGTCTCTTGGAATGAGAAAACTTTTTGGTCGATTCATACCTCATCACCTGACTCAAGCCAACCTTGACCGCCGAGTCGACGATTCGATTACTCTTCTCACTCTCCACGCGGGCGATCGATGGCTGGACCGGCTAATAACCGGAGATGAGAAGTGGGTCTTCTACGATAATCACCACAGGAAATCCCAGTGGGTTGGAGAAGGAAAGAGCCCACAGGATGTCCCAAAACCCGACCTTCATCCGAAAAAAGTTATGCTCTCTGTGTGGTGGGGAGTGGACGGCCCCATCTACTGGGAACTTCTGCCCGAGGGCAAAACAATAACTGGAGACCTCTACACTACTCAACTACGAAACCTCAAGAAAGCAGTCGACCGTCGGCCCTGAAAGACAAGAAAGTGTACTATCAACATGATAACGCTCGCCCACATGTTTCGAAACAAGTGAAGCAGGAGCTGATGGGATATGGATGGAATGTTCTCCCTCACCCCCCGTATTCTCCTGATCTTGCTCCTTCCGACTATTGGTTATTTGGCGATATGACACGTGCCTTCGAAGGAAGAAGCTTCAATTCCCGTGGAGCGGTCGAAGCGGCACTCAAACAATACTTTGCCTCACGCCCGGCTGGATTCTACCGCAATGGAATCCATAAATTGAGGGAACGTTGGAGACATGTTGTTGATAATGATGGACAATATAATTAATTATTCGGTTATTTTTTCTTTGAGAAATAAACTATTGAAAAAGTGACAAAGACTTTCCCGCCAACCTAATACTAATCGGAGCAGGTGAAAATCGGAGCAGTGGAAGATAGACGTCGGAGGCTGTGGACGAAGATCCCAACTACCGTAATCCAAAAATATTTTATTTTCCGAAATTTATTTTCTTTTTTTTCCCTGCTCCATACAAGCCTTAAAATAAACCTTTTTGATTGTGAAAAAAATGGCTGAGAACGCGAAATTCGATATTAAAAATCCGGAAAACATTTTACAAGTTACAGTAGTTGGGACCTTCGGCTACGGCCACCGGTTTCCTCATTTGAATCATTGCTCATTCTGCGTACTCCAGAATATTGTCCTTTTTTGATATTGCTTTTCTCATTTCCCACATTTTCCCTCTATGTAAACATTATCCAGAAAGAGAATATATTTTTCACCTAATTCTGTACTTTGATTCATTCATTCTTAAATTTTCATTTTTGTCTTCTCCATGTCCCTATGTCCCTGTTTTCCTACTCCTTCGCCCACCTCTCCCTTTCCTTTTTCCTTTTTTCATAACATCATCATTTTCTTCTTCTATTTTCTACTTTTTTTTCTCAATTTCGCTCCATATTTCTATTCAATCCCAAAAGCAAGAAAAAAGAACACTGGTCTTTTTTGAGCAGAATTTGTAAACATTTTGTGTGCTATTTTTCTCGATGTGTTCGATATTCGAAAAAGTCTGAAACTTGCAAAATTTCAGAAATCCATAAATCCCGATGGACTTCACGGAAGATGAAGCCGAGTACGAACAATGGACACATATTGAACGGCGCGTGCCATTCCAGGTGAGTCGTTAAATTTGGGTTATATATATTGTTAATTCATTTTTAAATAGAGAATTCTGCAAAAACAAAAATTTTTATGTAAAATTGAGATCGTTATGTAAAAACAGGTACCGTAAACCTTTAATAAATAGAAGGGCCTCCTTTTAACTTTGACCTCAACTATCTCGGTTCCCATGAGAGATATCAAAAATCTGTTAACTGATAAAATATTGACAATTGTACAATAACTACTCTATCAGTTGAATGATTTTTGATATCTTATACAGGAATCGAGATCATTGAGCAGCGTAAGTGCATATCTGAAGACATGACAAGATCCATATTTATTTTAACAAAAAAGCACAATTCTGAATGATTTAACATTTTTGTCCGTAAATTTTTTTAATTCTGCTAGTTCCAAAAATACATACTTCGACCCATTTTTTTTCTAATTCTTGAAATCTTAGAAGCTCTAATTGTTTTTTCTACCTCTTTTCGCCCTTTAGTTTTTTAACCAAACCTGTGACCTGTAACTTGAAAAACAAACAACTTGAACCCTCATCCCATAAAAGGTTCATATACTAGAACCCAAACTTTTCCAAAAGCCTGAAAAATTCATGCCACTTAAAAAGTGAAGGTAGGCGGAGACAACTGGGGGTTCATTAGCACCCAAAATGACGTATTTGGGAAAACGTGACTGAATTTGTATTTCTAGTATTTCTCGACCACAACCAAATTTCAGCAGCTTTCTAATTAAGTAATTTTTCCTGGAACTCTACCTAGATATTTTTTAGCTGAAAGTTAATTTTTGAACACCAGCAATTATTTGATTGGCTCATTTTGTGTGCTTCGATCTATTTAGTGTAAATGTTCTTGTAATTTTCATCTTATTGTATACACTTCTGAATGCTGAAACTCCCACCTAATTTTTAATAATTTTCTGGTCATGTTTCTGCTCACTTCAGCCTGTTGCTCCTTTGTTTTGATGAGTATAGAAAAAGAAGAAGTGGATGTGCACAACGTTTGATTTTCAATTTGGAAAGGGCTGGATACGATTTACAAGGATCTATGTATTTGAAAAAGTTAAAAATAGAAGAAGTGAAATTATAACACAAATTTGATTTGGATGAATGAACGTCTGTGGACCATAAATTCTGAATTATAAATTGTAAGAGCTGGATTTTGAATATTTCAAAAATCAAGATTCAAATTAAATCAAGAATTAATTTTGAAACTTCGAAGGTTTTTGAATTTAGAAATTATGACTCAGAAATTCTAGAGTTGCCAATTCAGAATTTTAAAAATGTTGTTTTTTTTTCAAACATCCCCTCTCCCTATTAAAGTGGGCCTATTTTTTCTCATTGTAAAAAAAAGTTGTCTTGTTTTTGCTGCTCCTTCGTCATTTTTCTTTGTTTTAACTCAATTACAAATAATTAGATAAAAACAAAATAACCTCCTACGAAGAAAAATGCGCATTCTTCGGAAAAATGATACTCTGACGAACGCCAAAAAACATGTTTTTACAAAACTTTCAGAATTATTGGATTTAAGAAAGAAAAAAATTTGAAATTTTGAGGGTTTTTTGACTTCGACATTTTGCTCTAGAGATTTTGAATGATTCAGGGTGTTTCCGGAAGACAAGAAAATCAGAGGAATTCAGAAGATTCTGAGATTTGTTGATTCCAGAATTTCAGAATTCCTAAAGTCTAACCCCCTGGTTTCCGAGAACCATTTCAGAGACCCCATTTTTCTCATTTTCAACACCTAATTTGCAGTTTCCGGTCTGCATTCTCCTTCTTTCTGTCCAGCCCACATTCATTTTTGCTCGTCTTTCAATTATTCTATCTGGTCACCTTGTTTTCTGGGATCCCCCTTATTTATTCGGAGTTAATGAATTTTTTCCTATCATCAAAGAATCTCCATCTGTTTGTGAAGAAATCTGATGTCTGATTTTAGTATTAGGATCTCCGTGATTTTTGAAATTCAGATTAATGAACCAGATACCCTAAATGCTCTTATCTAGAGCCCACTCTATACGTGCACTTCGAGCTCGATTATCTCGGTTCCTATGAGAGATATCAAAATATGTTTAACTGACAAAATGTTTATCATAATATCAGCAATATTTTATCAGTTGATACATTTTTGATATCTCTCAAAGAAACCAAGATAATTAAGGTCAAAGTTGAGACGCCTAAGAGCCGACACCTACCCGCCAATGACATTTTTTGACATACATTTTTTGTTCACTTTGAGCTCAATTATCTTGGTTTCTTTGAAAGATGTCAAAAATTGGTTAACTGATAAAATATTTGTCATAACATTCTCAACATTTTATCAGTTGACAGACATTTGAAACCTCTTACTATGAAATGAGCTGGGACAATTGAGCTCAAAGCGCACGTATATTCTGGGCTTCTATTAGAACAGAAACTTTGGTTTTGAAACGATTGAAAGATTTCAGTGTTTTTTTCTTAGAATTTTTTGGACCTATTTTTTGGTTTATTTTGAGTGGGTTTCCGTTAAGTGGGTTTCATTCCCCCTTCTGAAGAAAAACCTCCAACTCTTATGGTTTGTTTGTTACTCGTTTCTATTTTTCTTGTTACTAGGAAAACATGGCTGTCTGGGGTAGAAAATCTGAAGGTTTCTAGGAATAAAACGAGTCTAGACACAAGTAGACATATAAAACATTAGAGTACATAGAAACAAGCTCCCATACAACCATTATCGTTCGAGGTTCTGGGAATTTTTTTGGGACATTCTGGAAGGTTCCAGATGATTCTAGAAGTGATTAAAAATTGATGGTCTTTTTGGGCTCGGTTTCAGGCATCTAGATGTTTTGTTAGGATTCCTGAATCATTTCAATTTTCGATCCCCAACCTTTTCATCCAATTAAACAACATGTACATTCTAAACATATGCTGTGAATCCAATTATGAAGCCAATTTCTTAGAGTTTACTCATTTTCCAGCCCCCTCAAAAACTTCTTTCTTTTTTTATGCTCCCGATTAGATGCTAAAGTTTAGAACGAGAGCAAAGTTTTTGAGTGAAGTCACAAGAAACATGAAAAACGTTTTTTTTGAATGAAACTGGACATTTAATTGGAAACGTCGGGTTTGACATGGAAAAAGGGAAACATGAAAAAAAAATGTTTTAAAGTTGTGCAAGACGTTTTTTGTGAATGAAAGAATGACCGGAAAACAAGAAAACACAAACTATTAGGTTTTTGAAAAGGACCACTTTTTTGCACCAAAATCGAATTTGTAGGAATCTCTTTTGGGTTGTGTTTTGTAGTTTTAAATGTATGGGTGGGGAGTTCCACAAAAATTCAAAAAATGGGATTTTTGAACTTATGGAACTAACAAAACCCATATGTTTCAAATATTTTATCAAAGTTTTGAATGTGCTCTTCATTTTATGAGCTAAAAGGTAAAGGGTTGAGGATTTCAATGTTTTCTGAATCCTCTATAAAAGTTCGAAAATCTGAATTTATAAAATTCTGAACCCGGAAAATAATTTTTCAAGATTAAAAATGGCTGCATCCTTTCATATATTGTTTTTCATCATAAAATTCTTTGAATAATTAATCGAAGGCTGGACTAATTGAAACTGCTTTTTTTTCAAGCTCTAATATCGATTTTCAAGATTTCAGTTCATTTTTGGAACCATTAGAAATCAAAAAAGTTATACTCGAAAATTGAAAATTTCGGATTTTTGAAATTCGAAATTTGAAAATTCGTAAATGGAGTTTTACCATCTATAGTTTGAAAATGAATTTTTAAAACATAATAACATTTTTAGACAAATGTGTTAAGTTTTTCTTCCCATTCTTGAATACCCTTACTTCACTGGACATCTCAAATTTTACCCCTTTGAAAAAATGCTACTTTCCTGGCTTCCCCAAGAATTTTACTTTCCTTGCTTTCCCAAGATTTTTGAAAACCCCTTTTCAAATTCCCATGTAAGCCAATCTCTGAAACTGTAAAAAAACAATCATTTTGAATGTACCGTATTTCCTGTGATAGAGTCCCATGGGCTATTTTTCAACCTCCTTCTGGGGGTGGACCAATGTTTCAAAAAACGCTCAAATTAGCGGGTTTTCGGTGTTTAACTGAACTGGAATAGTTATAAAACGACAAGAATGAACGGAAATTGCCAGAAAAATGGACAAAAAAGAGTATGTCTGCACTAACCGAAAAGAAAAATGCACAGCCAGGGTGGGCTTCTATTAGAGGTGGGCTTCTATTAGAGGAAATACGGTAGGATATTCTTTTTTTTAATCTCAAAATCGAAAAATTGTGATCCATTTCTTTTTTCGAAGTTTTGGAATTTATAAATCCTTGTTTCAAAAACCATCTTCTAATACTTGTCCTCATGCTAAGTTCCACGTCACACCTCATTCTCATCACATCTTGACACTTTTCCTTCTTCTTCTTCCCCGTGACTCCTCAAAGCTCCGCCCCTATTTCTTTCTCTCCATCCTCACCCGGTCATTCTACTTCATTCTACTTCATTCGATCTCATTCCCCGACGTCTCTTTTCTTCTTAAGATCGGAATTGATATATAAATAAAATAGATTTCTAAGATTCCCACGACCTTCTTCTATTCACCTTTGAGTCCATCTAAAGGCACGTCTTCCTCTTCGTCTTATTCAAAAAAGTAGACTCACCTTCTGGATTTTCTGAAAAGAATCACCAAAAAGAGAAGAACAATGAGTATCGTGAGTTTTGGCGTTCTTGCTTTTTTCTTTCTGGATGATTTCAAATGAATTTTATTATGCGAAATTTGATCTTTTAAAGAATGTGTGTTGTGTACCGTAGATCGGAATTCCGGTTCTAACATTCCTTGATCCGGGAGTGTGCGGATTTGAAGTTTTGAAGAAATCCAAAATTTAGAAAATTCACAAAAATTCCTTCCGCCGAGCCCTGTTAGCCGAAATTGTCATATTCTAGAAAAACTGTATTATATTTTGTAGAGCGGAATTTCGGTTTTAACATTCTTTGATCCAGGAGTGTGCGGATTCGAAATTGTAAGGAAATCTAAAATTTCGAAAATTCAAAGCCCTGGTTAGCTGAAATTCTGGGAAAAACATGAGGAGAGGCTTAGAATAGACACCTGTCAGTTTCTTTAAGGTGTTAATGACAAAAATCAAACAACGAAATTGTGTCAGAATTTCAAAGAGTTTTCGTTCAAAAGTCAGAAAAAAACCTTCAACTTCAATGTCAATTATCTCGATTTTCGTCAGAGATATCAAAAATTTATCAACTTATAAAATGTAGCTGACAATATGAACAATATTTTATCAGTTGAAAAATGTTCAATAGCTTTTACAGGAATTCACATATATGGGTTCAAAGTTAACGGTTAATGTGGGCTTTTATTAGAGGAAATAGGATATGGGTCCCATATTATTATGGGAGTAACAGAAATTGTATTTTTTATAATCCAAATTTTCAAACTTCATTCATTGAAGAACTTTCAGGGGTACCGTACCTATGTTGCATCCACATACATTGGATTCAACGTCGTCGGATTCGCAATCAACGCGTGGGTATTGTATGTGGTGGCTCCTCTCCTGTTCGCTCCAGCCATAAAAGTACCCAAAAGCATACTTTTCTACATTTTCGCTCTATGTGTTGGGGATCTAATGACAATGATAGGTACAGTATACCCATAGTATCCACTATTTTATGAAAAGCTTTCCAGCCATGTTACTTTTGGTCATCGAGTTGGTTTTCGGAACATGGCAATTCTCATCGATGGTATGCACCAGTTATCTGATTTTTGACTCTATGAATAAGTGAGTTTTGGAGATGTTAGATTTTGAAAAAAAAGTTTTTCCAGGTTTATGGCCCCAATGATAGTTTTTCTGATCAGTAGAACTTGTTACTCGACTGTGTGTCTGGATAAGACGAGAGGAGAGAAAGCGGCTACCTTGAAGGTAAGTGAAGGGAGCGGAAATATAGATAAAGACAGCCGTTTCAATTGTTATTTTGTGGATTAGGATTCCAAGTTTGTTGAACCGATGTCTAGACTCAAATGTTTTTCTGAAAAAGTACATGACACATTTCTTGTTTTCAAGTTAGTCTAGGGAATATCGAAACCTTGAATAGTAGTTCTAGGCCAATAGAGATTTCTAGAATACGCATGTTCTTTGAGATGTTCGAAAGTGTATCAGACGAGACTAAATTTTAAATTTTTCTCTAGTATGCATTCCACAGATTACTGTAAAATTCAGCTTTAGAATATACTAAAAATCAACTCAAATGGACCATTTTGAGTCGAGTTATATCATTCGAAGTTTGCGTGGGGAGAGAGTGGGAGGGTGCAGACAGTCTAGCTTCTCTAGCACCCTTTTCTCCTAACACACTGTCTCACCAGGTCAACTTCAAGCGCTCATTACTCGCTTCAAAGTTTAGCTAAAATTTGATTTTTGGACCAATACGAATGAACTATTTAGCTGCATCAGATCAAGCCAATTTTGATAAAATTTTATCCAGAATTACTGTATTTTCAAGCTATCAAAATTTTCTTTGGTATTTCCTTCCTTTTCCAGTACGCCATAATCCAATTCTGCATTGCCTTGGCCTGTGTTATGGTTCTTCTCTGGCCAGTTTTTGCCTATTCCCAAGTCTTCACCTTCTACATGAACCCAAATGCAACTTCCCAGGAAGTAACCGTTATGAGAAAGTGTGGTTTCTTCCCGCCTCCCCGTAAGTTGTCTACGTCAGGATTTTTGATTCGCAAACAAACATTTTTAAAAACTCTTCCAGAGATTGAATTTTGGTTTAACCTGATCGCTTGCATCACTTCCTACGCTGTACCTCTTTTTGGAATTATTTACTGGTGAGTGGTCCAGATATTTCCAAAATAGAAGAAACATTTTTTGCAGGTACGTCTCGGTGCCATTCTTCCTGAAGCGCAGAGCTCTGACGACATTGGTTGCCTCCAGGTACTTCCTTTAGGACTTTTGGGGAAAATTGAGAGATTCGGAAAGAAGAGAAGAGGAATTATTTATTGACACTGACTCGGTGAAAGTATTTTGAGATGGAGGGCAATAGAATAATCTATCAGGAAACGAAAAAAAATAGAGAAATTGATTAGCTTGAACTTTTGGAGACTGAAAATCTATTTCGAAAATTCCAGCTCAATGGACGCCGCACTCCGAAAAGTTATCACTACAGTACTCCTGCTTACAGTAATCTATGTCTTATGCTGGACCCCGTACTGGGTCAGTATGTTCGCGAATCGTATCTGGACCATGGAAAAGAAGAGCAGTACGTTCTGAAAAAAAACTGGAAAGTTCAGAATTAACTCTAAAATGTTTAATTTCAGTTATCATATTCTCCTACTTCATCCACCTCCTTCCCTATATCAGTTGTGTTGCTTATCCATTAATTTTCACATTGCTCAACAGAGGAATCCGATCTGCTCACGCCAAGATTGTCGCTGATCAGAGACGCAGATTCAGAAGCTTGACTGACGAAGCTAGCTCACAGATTCGAACTGCTATTAGGTACAAAATCTAAGAAAAAGCTACAGTAACCCCATTTCTCATTTTCCAGAACAATCCCAGGAACGAAAATGAAGAAACAAGACTTTCTGACGCGAACTGAAGAGATCTCATCTGATAAAGCGGCTTCTGAAGCTATCTCGGAATTCCGTGATGCTCTTCCATCGCAGACTTCTTTTCCAGATGAGACGCTTTTATGAGGAGGACATTTTTGATATTTTGATGTTTTTTAGACAGAAAAATTACGAGTTCTTGTTTTTTACCGGTTGAATTTTCGTATTTTCTTGCTTTTTTTTTTTTGTGTCGTATATAATAAATTTTGTTTTTGCTTTTTTTGCAGTTTTTCACAGACAGACTATACATGTAAAGTAGATTGGATGCTTGAGCAGAGAATAATAATATGACGACACACTACAGTACCAAAAAAGAATTAAAATTGAAAGAATTATGTACAGTTTTCCAGTAGAAGAACTTTTGAAAGGGGCTAGGAGGATTTAGAAGTTCTAATTTACCGGAATCTCAGAATCTCAGATTCTCAGAATCTCAGAATCTCAGAATCTCAGAATCTCAGAATCTCAGAATCTCAGAATCTCATAATCTCAGAATCTCAGAATCTCAGAATCTCAGAATCTCAGAATCTCAGAATCTTAGAATCTCAGAATCTCAGAATTTTAGAATTTCAGAATTTTAGAATTTCAGAATTTTAGAATCTTAGAATCTCAGAATCTCAGAATTTTAGAATTTCAGAATTTTAGAATTTCAGAATTTTAGAATATCTGAAATTCTGATTCACATAATCACAGAATTTCATAAAACCAGTAATAGAAGAGCCCACTCACTGTCCCGGTTGAGCTCAATTATCTCGGTTCCTGTCAAAGATAGAAAAAAAATTGTCAACTGGTAAATTTTTTTTCATGATATCACAAAAATTTTAACTTGACATATTTCTGATATATCGAGATATTTGAGTTCCCACTTGAAAGAGGCGGACCTTCTATAACAGGTTTTACGATATATAATTTATAGAATCTGTTTTTAGATAGTTGATTTTTCTGACCATGAATCACAAAAATGAATAGAATGGATAAGAAAATAACATAAAAAATATTCGAATGCACACGAAAAGAAACCCATAAAATTATGCAAATGGTCTTTCCCGAACCGTATAAAATGATATCGTTTCGTCATCCCATCACTGTTTCTCACTCTAAAAATGAGCAGCAGCCAAATTCGAAACAAAATCGGACAGGCGATGTCTAAAATTCGTCGTTGTCTGGAAGTGGATCGTCTTCAGCCATCGGAACAAGGAATTCAAAATTTGGATTTGATTCAACTGAAGAAAGTTCTCAAAGTAAGTTTGAGCTAGCTATTTTTTAGGAAATATTCCAATTTATTAATCAAAAAAGTGAATTTCAGGACAACTGGGATAACCACCATCGTCTGGTAAAAAACATGAACGCCCTTATGCAACTGGACATTTCCTGGGCAGCTTTGATCATGGACAATCCGTCGGAAAGACGTCAAAAAAGAGAATTCATCGAGAGTAATGGAAACTATGCCGCTCTCTGGGAGTCATGCAGTCAAGCTATCAGACACAACAAGAGACTGTATGAGGCAACGATGAGATTGATTCTTCAAAGACATCCGGACGCTAATTTGCCGATTCGCTTGATCTTTGAGATCTTTGATTATTCATAATTATCTTAATCATTCAAACGCAATAAAGTTGCCTGTTGAAAGTTGTTCAAAACTTAAACATGCCAAAATATCGGAGCAGAATCTCAAAATTCAAAAATTCAGAAAATTTATTGTCTAGAAAAAGAATCCAATAATCTTGGATCCTATAAAAATTGGATTTAAGCAACCGGGAAAATCTCAATTTTCTATTTTTGGAACATTTGCCGTTATGAACAAAAAAAGTGGAGAAAATTAAAAGAAAAACCCCAAAAGATGTTGAAAAACCTCAAAAGAAAATGCCATAGAACACTAAAAAAGTTAAATTTTCATATTTTTTATAAGGAGCATGCAAGAAAAGGCTTCATGAAGCTACCGTATTCCCTCTAATAGAAGCCCACCCATACAGTCAACTTTGAGTTTAATTATCTCGATTCCTATAAAAGATATGAGGAATTGATAGACTGGCAAAATGTTTACCATAATATCACCAACATTTTATCTGTAGATACATTTTTGATGTCTTTTACAGGATTCGAGATAATTGAACTTAAAGTTGAATTAGGTGAGAGTTGAAAATACAATTTTTCAGAAATTTGGGTCAATGTAAACTGTATTTTAAATTTGTTTTTCTTCTACCCAGAAAATGTTTCCACGCTAAACCCTTTTTTCCAAATCTCGAATTTCATAGAAAAACTCCCTTTCGATCACTTCCTTTGGCTTTTTACTCATTTCCAAAGTTCAGAAACAATCTTCATTTTGTAGCAAGAAGACATTCAGGAAGACAAAAAATGAATCTAGATGGTGTTCAGCTTTTGAGGTGAATCTTCTTATTTTTTCGATAGCCTCTTACGACATCAAATTTTCAGTCAGGATCAGCTTCCACCCGTCTTGAGACTTTTCATTGATCCGAGCTTAAAATATTCGAAACACAAGCATACTGTAGAGACATCTAGAGGTAACAATGGAATTCGGAAATTCCTAGCTTTAAACTTCAGATTGCGTCCATCACACCTACACCCTCGTCCTAACTCGTGAGCCATCAACTCAACCTGACGAATATATTCATCTCAAATTGGCTCCAACAACTTCGACAGATATTTCAACTCAGCTCAGCTCTGCTAGAGAAATGATGAGCAAAAGTAGTTTGTCTGAAACTTCTCCAAAAACTGACAATTGGTCATTCACTGAGAAGAAAATGGACAGCATTTATTATACGATTCCAATGAAAACGGATCCGGTTTCTTTTCAAAAGAATAATCCATCCGAGAAGACAACGAAACCGACGTCTTCTGGATCCTCTTCTGTTTCTACTTCTGCAACTTCTACAGTATCTTCATCCCAAACGTCTTCCGTGCCTTCTTCTTCTCTTCCTACTTTTGATCCTAATTATGAAAAAATCCCCAGAAAAGTGGTCACCATGGTTCATGTGAAGTTTATTTTGGTTCATCGTGACACCTTCAAAAGACGGTAAGCGTTGGCTGAATTCATACCACATAAATAGTAAAATTTCCAGTGTCCAATCAACATTCACCGACGAATTCCAATCGGATTGTCGTCTGGAAGACGTGATTGTGAATTTCCAACAACTTTGTGCTCGCCAGTAAGTGCTCAATATCTCAAATACTCCTGTCTTTGTGCAGAAATTTCAGACTTCGTGACGCACGCCTTCAGCCACGTCTTTCGTATTGTATCGGAGAAATCAGTGGGAAGAATTCGAAACCAGTGTTGAGCAGTGATTTGGGAAAGACATTGACGCAGTTGGCTGCATCGAAAAACGTTTTTCAATTTGCTTTGATTGTCGATAACTTTGATAATTCGTGAGAAGAGTTGAAGAAGATGAAAATAGAAAAGTGAACTGGATTTTAGATTGATGAATAAAGTTTTTTGAATGTTGATGTATCTGTGTTTCTCCTGCATTATTTTGTGTTTTCACTGTCCTTTTTTGTATTAAAAGATTCAAAAAACTGTGAGATAACACATATTAAATTTTGTAAGTTCCCGGTTTACATTGAAGATTCTAGATAATTCAAATAGAATTTTGTGCTTCAAATGTGCTCAGATAGTGTCTTTTGAATCCTTGATCCAAATAATTTACCGACAGTGTAAAGTTTGAGCTCAATTACAATTATCTCAATTCCTATACAAGATATCAAAAATGTGTCAACTGACAAAGTACTTTTGATGTTATGATAAGCAATTTATCAGTTGACCACTGTTTGACATCTTTGACTGGAACCGAGAAAAATTCGTTCAGACCAGTTTCTATTACGCATCACATGTCTTTCGATTAGACATCATAAAAATAATATATTCATAAACTCCGCTTTCCTTTGTAAAACCATCAAACTGACATAAATCGACCACACCCACGCTAGCAAAAATTCCCATAAATTCGGTGACCTGGAAATATATAAAAGCAGAGAAAAATTTCCAATTTCATGCTCGAAGGATGAGTCAATCTCATCGGATTCGCCGTCGAATTCGATGCCTTGTGATCTATATTCGAATTGTTGGAGACTTCCATCGGCAGATTCTTCATCAACAACATCCGATGGGATACAATCCACGCAATATGGAAATGGAGCAGTTGCGAAAAACGATGAAGAAGAATTGGAAGATCTATCATCGTCTAATGAAGTATCATAATCTATTGATTATTCAAAATGATGCATGGGCGGCGCTAATTGAAGGAAATCCAGATGAAGAAGAGAAACACAAACGATATGTGGAGTCCAATGGAAATTATATGGAAGTTCTTGGAGATTGTCTCCGAACAATTCGTCATTGCAGAAGAATTTATGAGGCAACTGTGAGAGAAATCATTCGACGATGTCCAGATTCTATGTTGCCCCTTTGTCTTGATCATTAATTTTCAAATCTTCAATAAAATAAAGTGTTGTTTCAAAAATAATGAAATGATACAGTATGATACAGAAATTATAGAAATTAAAAATACAGAAAATTGAAGCATTTACTCCTCTGTCTCTAGTTTTGGATGAATCCACGAATCGTCCAAATCATTCGGATTACACTCCAATCCCAAGTAATCCACAATTTCTTGAGCTGTCTTTGATTCCAATTTCTTTGCAATCACAAATCCAATACATTTTCTGAAATCGTCGCATTCGAGAAAGTTGGCCAATTCGATAATTATTTTCAATTCTTCAAGATTCTTCTCATTGGCTTCTGGATAGTCTTCCAGCTTGGCATCGTCTTCTGGATATTTGTAACTGTGGAAATTCGCGAATATAAATTCTCCGGCTTCTTTTGAGAACTTGATTTTGAGTGGTTCAGTTTTGACTGGTTTCATGGTATTCCAATCCAAATTCTGGAAATAGAAATTGTAGAACTACCGTAAACCTGTTATAAAATAGTTCCCTAACTTTGAGCCAATTTTTCTCGATTCCTGTCAAAGATATGAAAAAGTTGTCAACTGATAAACTCTTTATCATAATATCAAAAATGTTTTATCAATTGAAAAATTTTTATATCTTGCATAGGAGCCAAGATAATTGAGCGGTGTAGTTGCTCTTCTATTACATGTTTTACTGTAAAAACTTACATAAGGGTTCAAAGATCTGGCAAAAACGGGAACTTTCTTAATAAGATCCGAATCGTCGATGACAGTTGGATCATTCACATCAGAGTCTTTGAAAATTAGTTGAATTTTGAGAGAATGCATTGCGAGAGGAGTACTGTAGTTTCTAGAAAAGAATAGAGTTGAGGGACTTTGTTGGGAAATGAGTGGAAAAAGGGATTCGAAACTTCAAAAATATACGAATTTTTGAAATAAAACATGTCGAGCATTTTGAAAAGGAGTCTTGAG